AGCTGGAGGGAGGTTCTTTCATATTTATCAGCATGATATTGGCCAGAACGTAGTTGAGTAAGGCATGTGTAGTAGAATGGTTGTGTTGGCAGATTTCTCTCCACCATACAGCAATGTCCTTGGTGTCTGATCTAGTGCATCTTTCGAGACATGAAAGTACTCCCGGAGAAGTGACAGCCAGTTTTTGTTTAAGTTTGTGGAAGGTTTTCTGGAGTTGATCATTTGGTTCTGCGTCTCCAACATACTTTTTGTAGCATTCTGTCGTTTTTAGTGAAATGTAGGCTGGATCTTCTTTTTTTACAGCAGAATATGAATGCGTTAAAAACGTGTCAAAAAATTCAGATCTTTTCTCAACCAAATCTCTGATGCTGTTTATTAGCTCCTTAAACCTGAAAAGTTTCTCATCTCTGATGGATTTCAGGACAGAGCCCAGAGACACAGTCTTTGTGAGAACTTGCTTCCAAAGTTCATCATGTCTGATAAGATGGTCATACAACAGGCTGCAAACTTCCAGATAACCAAACAACCCTCCGGTGTTTAAAGCACGCAAGACTTTTACATTCCCATCTCCTTGTTTACCCTTTGCATGTTCATTCTCAGCAAGTCGTCCCTCATCTTCAAAAGCTTCAATGGCTTTTTGGGCAAGTTGTAAAATTTCTCTTGGCTTGGCAGAAACTTTTAAGTTCTTCAGGTGGATCTTATGGACTTGGCCTAGTGTATCTGCAACATATGAACTCCAAGGAGCCCTCCGCTTTGCTTCTTTTGCCCAGATTTCTGCATTGTGGTAGTCTTCTAGTTGAATATAATAAAAACGAGCAAGAGTCTGTGGAAAAAGTGGGTTGTCATCAAATTTTTTTGAAGCCACCTTCAAAACTGACAGACTCTGACTTTTGCATTCCTTTTTGTCATCATCTTCTGTCTTTGTAATATCTTGAATCAGTCCGGAAAACTTTTCTTTCTTCTCATTAATGACACCAGTTGGGTCCTCTATTATTTTAATTTCTCTTTTATTTAGCATGTCTTTGATAAACCCAAGTAAATATGGAGGAATATTACATCTGCAAAAACTGTTCAAGAGATTTCTTGTTGTGTCACTTCTGGTCACACCTACATCACCCAACAGTTCAGTACAACACTGAGCTATCATATTGTGAGCCATGCAAACCTTTTTTTCAGCTCTTCCATCTTGTTGGAAGGTGACGATCAGATGACTGAAAGGCTGCATTTGATCCTCCAGTGAAAAGTCATCTTCATCTTCGTGTCTGAGGAAGTCCAGGCACTGAGACTCCAGGATATATGAACCTGGTGCGTAGGCGTTCAGCAGACACAGGAAGGCAGCAAGCTGCATCTTCAGTGGCTTATTTGTTCTTTTGATATGTTCTAATGTAGCACATGCGTTCCTGATGTAGGCTTCAGAGAAATTAGACTGCAGAATGTTAAAACCATGAAACTGCTTGCACCGATCACCAAATCTTCTGCCAAGCTCTTCT